ATGCCTTTTGCGCTCTCTCGCAGACACCGCGAGCTGCACGATTGCGCGGCTGGTTTAAGAGGTAATTTTTGATCGAGCATTATATTAACTATATATGAATTTCGGCAACGAATCACACGCGGTGTACGTACCTTTTACCGCGTGAAAAAAAAGCAGGAATAAAAACTTTCGAGACGAACTAATAACTTTGCGTACGACGGTAAATTGGATATTACCTCCCGCGTGTGCTTGTATTAAAACGAAGAAATACATGAAAATTCGTGTTTACCCACGCTATATATTTGCATCGTAGTGATTATGCACATATTGACAAAACGCAGGTTGCGGACTAACTTGAGCATATGTTTTGTTTGTGCGATGCGTCAATAGCGTTGCAGCTTGTGGTGCACTTAATTCAGATTTGCATCAATGAATTATACACCAAAGGCTACCTAATTTGATCAATTGTAACGGTGCGTTTATCGTTTGGATTACGTTCGTGCATTGTCTAATCAACTCTATCAGAAAATCATACACATGCTAAAATTGTTTAGGTGGAATAATTTTTTTGAAACGCTTCATGTTTATCACAGGACATTTCAATAATCAGCAACATTATTTATTTGAACATTTCAAAAGCATGCTCTTCTTTCTAAAAAACATGACGACTCGAGAAAATTTTCTTGCCGTAGACGAGAAATCGAGCCAGCGCAAGCTCAGATCAAAGCGCAGATATATTTAATAATCTCCATTGCTAACCACGTCCGACGGAAGCCGGATTTTTGTAATTGTCCATCGCGGACAAATGTGAAAGTGTATACGAGCATGTGATAAAAGCACACCCATATAGACACACGTTTCTCGTATTCCGCCGCCAGACTCGTTTCGCCTGCAGATCGAAAGTTAACTCGCGCGGGATAAAATCTTGGCCGCTCGCGAGCTCGATGTCAATTTGTTTATGTTTACAATATTTCCTTTTCTTTTTCTTTATACCCTCGACCTCATAAGCACGTGCGTATCATAGATATCGTTAAGTCTGGCAGTTTTCGAAACATCGGGCAATAATTCATCCATCGAATGTGGAAAATACGTATTATAAATCTATATGTGTGTGACTAGGCTCGAGAGAGGCAACTATTATTTATGGCGAAGCTATAAAACTCAACTATTACTCGAGATTAAAGACTCTTCATATATGTACTCGGACAAGCCACACATACGTGTGCGCGTACTATACGTGCCGCGAATAAAGTACAACAACAACGGGCAAATGTTTACTTCTAACGTCGCGCGCACCTCTTTCTCTCCATATACGACATTCGACGTACTTTTCCAGGGGCTTCTTCACTTTAGAATCTCGACAAGTCAGCTCTTTATATATCATATACATCTATATCATATACATACACACAAGAGTGTAGCAAAGGGCGTGTGCCACGTGATTATACGTATGTATATATCGTTGCTTATGCTCTTGTCATTCTCGCGCACAAAGTTTTCCCTTTCACGGGCACCGACGACGACGTCGAGTCGCAGCGGCAGCAGCAGCTTAACTCGACGTGGCAAGGGCCTTAACGTTAAATCTGTGTGCCCCTATCCGCGATAATTATAATTTCTCCATGTAGCAGCTTAAGTGACAAACTATCCGCGCGTACACGCGACTTTACTTGAGAGCATCATGCCTACACGTATAATGCGTGGCAGTTGGGAAACAAAAATTATTTCAAACCCCCCAAGGGATGATCTATGAGAGCAGCATGATAATAAGAACCTAAAGTATTTAACAGCAAAAGCAGTTGCAAGAATTATATAAAATTAAAGGAGATTCCTCGACATAGAATGCATTATATACTTTCAAACTTTGCTTTTACTTTCTACGTGTGTATCGTAAAAAATAAAAGAGACTTCGAGGCGAGCAGCGCAAAATTTTATCGGTCCTAAGAAATGATAATACAAGTAAAGCCGGTGCATCGCCGCTTACATGTATAGGATGTAGCCTTAGTCGTCGTAGTCGTCGTCTTCGTCGTCTTCGTGTGAGAGAACGAGGGGTTTAAGGAGCACAGCCTACAGTGCAGGCTATAAGACAGCCAGGAAGTGTAGGCTGCTGCACAGTACTGCACACATACATACGGAGGAAAGAAGATAAAGATAATCCACGCAAGATTTTTACCTCTCTTGACGTGATCGTATACATATACGCTTCTTTTCTCTTTTGCTATTCACTATCTGCGTGTTTGTGGGTATTTGTGTGCGTATATGAGCAATTCTCCAAATGAAACGCATTTTTTGAGGTAGAATCGCGACAAATTTTTTTTTCAACCTACGCGGATACGGACCCCCGGGAAATGTTTTTGGGGGTCCTAGGAACATGTAACCACGTAGGAACCATTGAAATTTCAATAGTGCTTATTTTTATAGCTACTTTTGTGATTTAGAGGACGAAAAATCATGTTTTCTCGTAAATGCGGCTAATTACTCAATTTCTAAGTCGCTGAAAAAGTATCAAAACTCATCTAAAAAAAATAACTGGCTACTGTGTTCGATAGGAAATTTTCTCAGCTTTCCACTGGTGGTATCAGATATTCCGATAAGTCGCACATTCGCCGAGAAAATCGCCATCAAAAGTGCCAAGCTAAATATCTCGAAAAACTCGGTAAGGAAAAAGTGATCTTTGAGGTTTAATTTCGATTTTTCCTCGTGAAAATGAAATTTATCGAAAAATCTGACTACACCATAAGAAAGCTGAGGAAATTTCCTATCGAAAGCATATCTTTATTTATTTTTTCGGTGGAATTACGAGCTAGTTTTGATTGTAGCGAGCCGAAAACCTCGCGACCGCGCTGAATCAGCTCGGAAACAGAAAACAGCGAACAACGTGAAAGAAATTCCCATGTATAACATTGTAATTCCACCGAAAAAATAAATAAAGATATGCTTTCGATAGGAAATTTCTTTGGCTTTCTCATGGTGTAGTCAGATTTTTCGATAAATTTCATTTTCACAAGGAAAAATCAACAATTATCCAAAAAGTTCACTTTTTCCGTACTGAATTTTTCGACATATTTAGCCCTCAATGTGTGATGGTGATTTTCTCGGTGAATGTGCAATTTATCGGAAAATCTGATACCACCATTGGAAAGCTGAGAAAATTTCCTATCGAACACAGTAGTCAGTTATTTTTTTTAGATGAGTTTTGATACTTTTTCAGCGACTTAGAAATTGAGTAATTAGCCGTATTTACGAGAAAACATGATTTTTCGTCCTCTAAATCACAAAAGTAGCTATAAAAATAAGCACTATCGAAATTTCAATGGTTCCTACGTGGTTACAGGTTCCTAGGACCCCCAAAAACATTTCCCGGGGGTCCGTATCCGCGTAGGTTGAAAAAAAAATTTGTCGCGATTCTACCTCAAAAAATGCGTTTCATTTGGAGAATTGCTCATATACAGACACACATGTGGGAGTTTTGGTGATTTCTCTGCAGCCGCGCGTATACTCTTGGGCATTATAAAGCTGTATATTACTTATAATGCCAGGCTGAGACTTTGCAGCGAGCTGCCATCTTTTTTTCCTTTTTTCTTTTTCAACTCTGTTGTATTTACGAGCTTTGATATACATCGTACACTCGGATGGAAATGACCAAAAATAATAAAATTATGACGTCTTTCTTTTTTTTTTTTTACTCGAAAAAAAACATCGAGATAAGGTCGAGTTTTGAATTGTTGATTCGCAGCTCGTTCGAATTCTTGACGCTCGATGCAGTAGCGACAATTTAATTAAACGACGCGACATATTGCAATTTTATTAAACGTAATTTATGTAACGCGTAAACATTTCGTACACAAGATTGACCTTGAAACGTCTTAAACAAAATTTGAAGCAGTACAGATTGTTACAAATTGCAACTGTTTCATTGAATAATTATGCAGCCAGAAATTTCGTCAATTTAACAATTGAGCAACGTATGTGCGCGTCGAGACGAACCTCGCGCCAATTCATACGGTCAACATACGTATTACAGTAGCTGCGACGAATACCACCATAAATCATGCAATTGTCCGTCTCCAAGAAACAATGATTCGCCTCCAACAGTGCCACGATTTTCTCAAGCCCCATATAAAAACCACATTCGAAAAGAGTAAACTCGAAAGACATACGAACAATTTGAAATTTATCCGCGACCCTCGTATAAATATTATTTGTACTTTCACCTATAATACGCGCGCGTGAATCGACGCCCATACTGACATCGATCCTTGTGTACACGTTCCGCGAGAATAAAAAATCCTATTAGCGCGCCGTATGCATCATGTGGGCAGTGATAGCGGCGCGGCACGAGTGCACATAGTCGCTCAACTGCCATCGTAGCAGCGCACGACTACTATACGTCTACTCCATTAACAATATCAGCTGTATATAGTATAACAAAAAGTCAAGAGGTATATCGCGTTGTTATTTTACGCAGTGATTTTTAGCTAGATCGAGAGCTTCGCAAACATTGCGAAAGCCTATACGCCAATACAAAGAAACAGAAAGAGAGAGAACGAAAATAAGTTCGTATATATACCCCGCAGAGAGAGAGAAGGAGAGAGAAAGAGCGAGAGAGAGATGGTCCAAGCGATGTTTTTATTGAAACGGAGTTTCGAGCGGATTCATTGTGTGACTCGCGTTCAAGCACTCGTATTGAATATTCGCGTATCGCAAAGAGACTCGATCTTTCGCCGATGACCCAATAGTTATTTTTTGTTTTCATTTCATTCATGCCGACTCTCACGTGAGAGAGCGTGCGTAACAGTGTGGGGGGGGGCTTAAAGAAAATCATACACCGTTAATAGCAAAAAAAAAATTGTCAATGAATGTATTCACACCCGAGGAGAAACAGCACATTTTATACGAAGTCAAAATAATGACAATAATTCACACATGCATCCATATTTGCATCAACGTTCGCAAACTACATAATACATATCCTATACCAGTAGAATGCATAAACATTAAAGCCGCTCCGGTTATGTTTTCAGCCTGCGATTGTCATCCCATCGGGGCCTCCGGTAGGACGTGTAATCAAAGCACCGGCCAATGTCCGTGCAAGGACGGAGTCACGGGCATAACGTGCAACCGATGCGCCAGGGGCTACCAGCAGAGCAGATCCCACATCGCTCCTTGCATCAGTAAGTACATCCATACATACATACATACACACTGCATGCATGCAGGTAAGCGTATAATATGTGCGTAGAAGGTGTATAGAGTACAAGCCACACGCGCGCGTTCACAGCTCAGCTGCGGTAATCTTCTCGCGCGTTTGCGCTGGTAGCAATTTAACGAAAACAATCGAGTTTGTATTATATGCCGAGAATTCGTATAGCTACAATAGCAACTACTTTAATATACACCATAATACGTATGGAATATTTGTCTCCAATTTATAAAATAGTAATTCTTGTTGTAGAATCGCGTGTGAGGTAAGTGGCGATGATTCTCGAAATATAATACATCTCGACAAGAGAACATTGTACCGATCGATATAAATTGACTAAATGTGCATGCCTACTTTTCGCTCTCTCGGTACAACGGAAACGAAGAAAAAACAAAAGTGGCTCGATACGGCAAGTGTATCTCGGCTATCACTATACTAAGACTAATTCGACAAAGAAATTTGCCATTGAAACCGACGGTGTACGACCCGGCCATTAAATTCAATGCGCGTGTTAAACGTGTTTTGCTGACGCTGTACCTGTATACGTTATTATACGCCTGTGTGTGCTTTTTTTGTTTGCCTGTTACAGAGATACCGAGAGTCGTGCAGACCCAAGGCATCGAGGGCGAGGACAGCAGCGAAAACGAAAACGGCGAGGAGGAGGACGAGGAGAGATACGAGAACCGAAACGGTGAGTATTCTTTTTTTCACGATATAATGCGGAATTTTCCGCTTTTATCGTAAGCACGACGTGCGCATATATATTGTGATTTTCGCGTGTGCTCGACTAAACTTTATTGGGCCGAAAACGGACGCGCACCCCCCGCTTGATATAGTTAGCTCCGAACTTTTCTCACATATACATTTGAACGATGCTGAGAAAATCAACCGCACAAGCCAAGAGTAAGTACTTTTACCGCGCGCAGTGAACAGTAGCAAAGCCCGGCCAGATCGCTAATTCGTTTCTTCCTTCCTATTTTCTCGCACGAAACGAACGGATAAGAGGCAGCGCGGGGCCAGCTACTGGGTGCGTGCAAAAAATTCCCATCACGTACAGGCCACTGTATAAAGAGCGCAACAACAAACAAAAAAGAAACGATCGAGCGAGGAAAATTTTCGACGCCAGTATAAAAGCCGAGGTTAGGGGCTAGGTGTCGAAGAAGAAATGGGCGACTGGCACGTGCGCGCGGGCGAATCTCACGGTTAGGAGCCACCGCAGGCTCACTCGATATCCTGCAAGCTCGACTATAAGAGGTAAAAGAAAAAGTGAGTAAGAGAAAAGCTGCTGCTGCACGCAACGGGCGAGATCTACTTAACGATTTAATTAAAACTAGTCAGCTCGCGCGTGACAAGCTTGGGCACTGCACGCGCGAGGCAAGAGTTTTCGGCACGAACCCGCGGCTCGTACACACCTGCTGACACCCTCTTGGCCGACTTCGGCTATTTTTATTTCTTTTTCTATTTTTTTTCTTCTTCTCGTATACGCATTTACTCGCCAATGTGGCGCGCACGTATTATATAGTCGAAAAGCTGTGCTTTCTCCGTTTCTAGTTCTCGTCGTCGTCGCCGCCGTTGTCTTGTGTCTCGCTTATGCAAATTCGCGCATAGCTGTACATTAAATCCAGCACGGTACGCACAGCGCAGTAACAGCAGCCGCATGGCATTATATTCCCAAGGTATATACGCCGGTGTGTGCTCACACGTAGAAGCGCGAACATCAGCGGCGGCGCACTACAAGCGCGTAATATTATAGTCGAAGACGTGCGCGTATCATGAAATTGCAGTACACGCGGGAGCATGCGGCAAAAGGAGTCGACGGCGCAAGCGGCAGCAGCGACTAGTAGCAGTATATAGTCGCAGGCATGCGAATCTCTCGCTGTAATACGCATAGAATACCATATAATATAATACGCGCCGAGACCGTATACATGTAGGTATATAACTGGCACGCACGTACAGCGCGAGCCAAATCGAAAAAGCTTAGATTATCTATTATAAAGGCGCTGATACGGTGAGCGTAAGAGAGGTTTTCTCGACCCGCTACATTTGAGGTGTACATATTATGTGATGTCCTACACAGATACATCTTTGCCGAATATTTCAATAAGGCGTCAACGCATCGAAAGTCCCAATCATATCAGCAATGCCTACGCCGGTACCGTTGTTTTACTATTCTTTACCATTCCTTACCATACTACATTATCATAATCTACTTTACCATAATTACCATCGGTCTAACTCTTTTATCAATAATATTAATATTAATAATAAGTACATAACAATAAAATTAAACGATGCTAATTGAAACAAGCTATCAAAAAATATAAAAATACAAACAATTATATTAATAATTAAAAGTCAAACTTAGAGATCACCATGTGCATTCACATGGCGAACTTTTATTTTATTTAAATAATTCACAAAACACTTATAACACCTAGCGATGTTTCATTCGGATACTTTTATCTTATGTTAAATAGGTACAGACCTTTAATCATAAGTTACAAACAAACTGAGTGTATTAAATTAAAATAATTTATGACGGCGTAATTTTGAAACTTCCGAGTCATTATACAACATATGCCATTATTTCTATGAACTATTTTACAGCCTTAAATATTAATTAAATCATTTTATTTTATTTAACTTATTCACATCGAAACACATTTACAACACTTCTATCAGAAAACATTATTGTAAACAGCACTTTATTTATTCGTTGTATGACGTCACTTTTTGCACAAGTCGTTCATCACTGTATTTTTCACTGCACTGTATAACATTTGATATCAAAACCCTTGTAACACCACGGCGTAATTTGGTATCATAATTTTAGGTTGATATTTTGTTAATTGTACTAGTTAATAAGCAAAATTAATAAAGTTTTGCCACGAGCGCCAGCCGATCGGTCCAACACGACGGTTGCTCGTCCCAACTTTTGGGCAGTCCGCAGAAAACATATAAATACGGGCCTCCTCAGAGGCAAAAATTGGCGCAAAGCGGGAAGAGCTATTTTTGGGCCACCGGGTATGAAAAATACTATACAGGCCTATGCCGCAAAAAAAGGAAGCACCAGAGAACGTGTTTATCGGCCTCGGCTTCGATTCGGTTACTAATTACATGTCCTCTAGGATTTTTATTATAAAGGTCTTCAGTACTTTTACAATAAAATCTATACAATTAATTATTCACAAACTAAACTCATCAGACAAGGGACTTTAAGCTATTGGGATCGAACACATGCTTTAAAGGCGTGTTTCGTAAGGTCATATTGGATTAAAGGTTACAATTATGTATACAGTAAGAAAGTCTCGAGCAGTAATGATCGCAGTTATATATTCCACGTTTGATTGTAATTTATTATCATTTCGATGTATATAGTCTCGGGAGATCGTGTATTGCGCCGTGCACAGCTTGTGCGGAGTCGAGATAATAATGCACAAATTATATATATGTACCGAAAGCAATCGAAGTAGTAGTAGTAGTAGCAGCAGCAGCAACAGCAACAGCAGCGAAGATGTCTTTTCTGGCGTTTACGGCTATATGAGTTTGAGTGTGCAGTAAAACTTTGAACGCATTTATTTATATTACAGTGTATATTGGTATACCCCAAAGAGTATTCACACTTACTTTATTCACCAAAAATTGTTTTTATGTACAGATAGAATTAAAGTAAATAAATGCAGAAACTCCCTAGTAACAATCCTAAACTTCAACAGTAGCCTGACGAACAAAAAAGGACCACTTAAAATGTTTTAAATGACTTTACCATTTATTTACTTGTTTTTCGTCATTTTCCTATTATAATTTAGTCATAAATTGATACAAATTCGAAGCATAAAATTATGTTGCAAATATTGAATGCATTTAAATAATAATTTAATAGTTTTCAAAAATGTCGACCACTTTAAATACGATAATGCTATTTTCATCTTTACTACTAGATGGCGACTGCCTTGATCTGTAAATCTGCAAGTGGCTAAGTCAAAATGATTGTATAAGTCAACTTACGGGGTTTTCAAATCTTATACATTCGGGTTTGTCAAATTTACGTTTTCAAATCGTAAATACAGGCATATTATTGCCATCAATTGACCGTACTTACTCATATATTGTATACGATTTCTTTGTTAGTCTAATAATAGAATCGCCCACCTTTATCTTTTTATTTCCTGGTACAATTTTTTTATTATTGAAATTAATAAACATTGTTTTGGGGGGAGCAATGTTTAGTCCAAGTTTCTTTAGGTTTTTTCCAATGGTTTGATTCCTTGATTGCGGCAATATTGTAAGCAGAGACTTCAGAGATGAGAAAGGTCTTAGCACAGAAACTTGAATGAATCTTCTGTACGAGCATCACTTTAGTAGCAGATCGACTCTATAGATTGTCGTTATGAAATCTTATAAATGAGTTGATTATAGATTGAGCTTTCAAATTTCGCTATTTGAGGTGCAGGAGCTGTCGCTCAGTTGATCCTTAGCGTCTAGATCGGAGAGTTTTCTAATTAATCTCGTTAGTCTGGCCTTGAGGTTCTTGCAGCTAATGTTTTGCTTGGTGTCGGTAAGCATGAGCATCAGTCCGTCAGTATCGTAAGTGAATTCGTTTGCTAGTGGGTTAATTTTAAATGCACCGTGAGTCTTTGACAAAAATTCAACGAGTTTATCGACATTGAGCGGGTATTGCTTTCTGTTTTTCTCTAAGTAAGCCGTGGCAGACTTGATACTTTCTTTTATATCCGAGATGGAAAATTTGTCCTCCCGATGCTTGAAGCGTTTAGCTTTAGGCTTTAGGATGGTCTTGAGAGTCGAAAAAGCTGCTACCTTCGCGTCGGTATCTAACTGACTAGAATGCTGCTGCAGGGTGGATGGAGTCGAAGCCGGTCTTTTCAGTGGTGCAGACGTTGCAGCTGGCGAAATTTTCTCCGCGCTCGGGCCAGCAGATGCAGCGGAAGAGCTGGGAACATGTTCATCCGAACCATTAGCTGAAGCAGCATCAGGAGCACGATCCTGAGCGTCCTCGCCATCTGCGCTTTTGCAGTGTTTGGCTATGTGACCTTCCTCCTTGCACAGAAAACAAGTTAATTTCTCGGAGGACAGATACAGGGTAAACAATGTGTTGTCCTGCTGTATCTCCAAACGGGGAGGAATTTTCGACAGGTCGCTCAGCTTGACGTACATCTGACGTCTGAAGCAGCACACGTGCTCGTAGCCCGGGTACTTCGTACCTGATCGGACCAAAGTGATCGGCGACACGGGGACGATTTGCAGCTTCTGCAGCTCCTCGATGATTCTCTCGTTGGTGATCACTGGGCAGACGTTGGACAGGAGGATGCGTTTGGCCTGCGATATAAGGGGGTTGATGGTGAGCCTGTGGCCCTCGATGTCGATGGACCTGCCCGAGAGCTCGCGTACGAGGATCTTGTTGCTGAGGTAGATGCACACGCGATTCATGGAGATGCGCGAGACGAATCGCACATTTCTCGGCTGCACCAGAGAACCGACGGCGATGGTGTACGAGTGGATCGAAATACCGGCTATAGAGTCCAGGGTGATGGCATCATCTCTCATGGGATATTTAAAGTGTTGAGCATTGATTGAGTACGTTGGCTTTTGTTGATTTTTTGGATTGGTGGTCGAACGAGTCGTGGGGTGAGCCATTTCTATTGCGAAAAAGCTTGGATAGTTTTATAT